TAATCCAAGACAAAAAAGTGATTATTTAAGCATCTTCTAAACACACAGCCACACACACACGCACACACACATATATATATACATACATATACATACATATATATATATATATATATATATATATATATATACATGTGTGTGTGTGTGTATGTATGTGTGTGTGTGTGTGTATGTATATGTGTGTGTGTGTGTGTGTGCAAATATATAGAGAAATAGGAAAGAACACGTTAGGTAAATAATCCGAGGTTCTTTAGTATTTTTGTTTTTATTTTTAAAAGACAGTGCCCAATAAAAAAGTAGAGCCTAAATTATATTTATAATTATTTTTTAAAAATATGATTCCTTCGCTACATAAGAGTTCCCTTGTTTCAAAAACAAGAGCCAAAAACTTCAATATAATTGTTAAATTTAAAGTATCAAGCTCAGTTTCATCCTCAAGCGAAATTTTCTGAAAATCCTCGAAAAACACACATACGAAAACAGTATTAATAAAAATCCTAAACTAAAATTAGACAAAAATAATGAAAAGTTATGTGATTGGAGAAACCCCGCAGATTCCAAAAATTTCGCTTTTTTTTTGGTTTTATAAATTACTCTTGCATTTAAATTTCGTATAATATATTAATATTAACTCGTAAAAGAAAAAATTAATGTTTTTGTGCAACGAATAATTTAATTTTAATGCCATTTTGTGAGGCTACCGTATCCTGAAAGCTTCGATGTGCAGCTGGTGTAATGGACAACTGCTTCAAATTGAAAATCGGGGAGCCGAGTTCTAATTCTAGAACGGATTCGTTATATTCACTTAAGGCCAAATACCTTTGGGAAAGGCATGAATCTACCGCTTGCTATTAGAACTTGTCTCAGTTATTATTAGCTCAAAAAAATTCTTAGAATGTAAAATATTTTCTGGTTTTAATTAACCTGGAATCATATTTTAATATATATATATATATATATATATATATATATATATATATATATATATTGTTCGGATATTGTCCTCATCTTTCTTGCATTTTCACGACGTTTCAAAGAGGAATTTACTCTATCAAGTGCTGGTATTACCAGATTGAATACATTGGAGAAACCACAAGAAATTTAAACGAAAGAATGAACACAACACGGACATTTTAACGAAACTGACCACTATATAATTAACATAGAATATATACAATTCAACATGAAAAAGACGATGGACAACATCGCCCACGTGACGACGACGTGATCATATTTAAACGGAACGCTGATCTTATAAAAGATTTCAGTTATCTGTTTGGATTGGTATTGCTTTTATGTCCATAGGATTTTTGTTTGTTTTTTCAGTATATTTTTCTTCATACTGTCGGATCTATATCCATATATTTGCTTACATACATACATATATATATATATATATATATATATATATATATATATATATATACACGTGCGTTTGTGTGTCTTTGTGTGCATCTGCAATTATGCCAGTGTAAAAGCTGTTATATAGAACGTAGAAATTACTTCTTTCGCTGGAAGCTGGCCAAAAGTGCGTGAGAACGCTATTTCAGAGATCAACAACAACAAAATTCGTATTTTTTTCTTTGCATCTGACCCAAATAATACGAGCAGCTATACTGCAAATACAAGTTCATAACATCTACGTTGTTTACATTTGAAAATAAAGAAGACTGTTCGTCATTAGCATAAACACCCAGCCAGATGAACGACAATCATTGGTGGAGTACAACAGATGATATTAATGTAACAATTTGCAAAAGTACGCCTAGCTCAGTGATGAAGGATAAAACTAATGGCTGCAAAATCTGAAAACGGTTTCTTTATATCAAATTAGTGGCTCCTTCTTATTTTATATGTCCCTTTAGGATTATGGCTCTCCATAACTTCCTCTCATTTGTTGCTGTTAGTAATTCTTCGTTCATTTTTTGTTGTTATTCTCTATCAAACTTAGAATTCGTTTCCTTGTTAATATTTCCATCAAAAGAGAGAAGGATCCAAGTGTTTGGGAACAAATGCATGAGAAAACGCCTTGATATTTTCTATTGGGAACAAGAAACCAATGAGTTTGGGCGGAAAAGGGTTGAAAGTTTTGTCGGACACGAGGAATCTGTCAAACGAAGAAAAATGTCGTGGTTTGGACACCTTACAAGACACGGCAGCCTGTGCAAGACCATCATGCAAGGCATCGTTGAAGGTGGACGTAGGAGAGGACGCCAAAGCAGAAACAGGTTGGACAATGTAAAAAATGGACAGGTATGACTGTACCAGAATTGCTGCCGTCAATAGACCGTTGTGGAAAAGAGTTAGTGCGGCTTCTGCTTTCGGATCCGCCTTACGAATCCAAGAGTGATTATGTCGATGAGTATTTCTATCAAAATTATCATAGATCGCTAGAACGTCATCTCTGTTTTTTTATTGATTCATTTTCTACAGCTTATCAACAAATTATTTAAAGCCAGAAAAGATTGTAAGAAGATTTTTTTTTCTATAGATAATATTGATTTAGTGATAAAATCCTTTTTGATTAGTCTACAGCTGGAAGAGAAGAGATGGATACACACCTTGAGCGTAAGTCAATATAACGAAACCAAATGAAAATAGAACTCGGGTCACCGATTATCAATTCCGAGCCATTATTCAATACACCACCCGCACATCCAAGTTTACAGCACCTGATATCTTAAAGCGGTCAACCATCTAGGTGATAACCGGGCTCGACGTTGCTGTACCGGTATTTCTTCACCTGATTAGAAATTGTCCAACACTCACTGCCACATAGATTAGATATTACATAACAGTTCAGTATATATTTCCTGGTTTATAATCATATTTTCCGATGTCACCATCTTTGCTTAGGTTCTGGAAGACATCTTTCAGAATTTCTAAACACATGCCTATTTCTCTGTTACATTTTCAGATGTCTTAACTACACAAACCAGATATTCAAATGTCTGTATTTGCTTGATTTTGACGTCTCCAATACGTATCTTAAACACTGGATAGACCTTTTTTTACTGACAACCAACCATATATATCTCTTACAGAATAGTACTCCTTTTATCTTGTTTTCTATTGCTTGTTTAAAAGTGTTACAAATTCATGACGGTCGCATTTTTTTCATAAAATCATCCCCCCCCTTCCTGGTCGACTTTGCAAAGGATGATGTCATGGAGTTATTGTATCCTGAGGTAGCCTAAAAACTTCGTCTCCCCATAATTTATATCTCGATTCATTCTCATCAAAATAAAATCGTGATCTGGGCTCATAACCAATGTTACAAATTCATGACGGTCGTCTTCGAGTATAGAATCCAGAGGTTGGCAGTGAATATTTCGGAGACAGTAGGAAAGCGTAGTTCAGGTTCGCAGTGGATATCGTAGCAGAGCATAGTTCTTCCTTCTGGCATCTTCACCTGACAAGTTGGCACTGGTCATTCCGGTAGGATAAACAAAGATGGCCGCCTTTATGCACGACGGATACAATGTTCTGCGCTTTTGATTGGTTAATCTTCTATTGGTAGACTATAAAGGGAATTAAGTCATTTTGACTAACTCACTAGTTACACCTATATATATACACAAAAAACTGTAACAAAAAGTTCTTTCATTTTGCCTTTATTTGTCCGGCCCAAACCCTGTATCATCTGTCTGTCTTAGATGCCTAATATTATGTTCGTCGATAATAAGACATGGTAATTTTTTATTTTTTATTTTTTCAACGCCCAAGAGCCACTCGAAGTAGGGGATAACAGATTACAGGACATTAACAGATTTATGGACATTATTTTAATGGATTCGTCCCAAGCAAGGCAACAATGCCTCCAATGAGTAAGGGGGTCACTGGAAGGGAAGCAGAATGAAAAGACTTTAAAACGAAGCGGAAATACGGCCATAAACAAGGATCAATGGATCTTTACATTTATTTAAATCACCGGAGAGGCGTGTGAACAGGGCGATAACAGAACCCATCTAATTTTCATAGGAGTGACTCACTAGCTAAGTTAAAGAAATCCGGCCAGAAATCGTATCCTTGTCTTACTCCTCTTTCTATTTTTGTGTATTCACTGAACGATTTCTCTATAGGCATGCACTAGAGGAGACGGCGTACTGGAATATCTTTCCCATGTAAATCAAGCTCTTCTTGCATTTCGAGTAGTTCTTTGCGTTTTAATTTATTAAATGCTTTTTTCATACAATCTTTGATACATATGTATACGTCTTTATGAATCTGTATCGTTCGCTCAGCAAATCTTATCGTTAGGTTTCTAATTATTAGATTAGTGGCTACCTGTCTATTGAAGACCGGGAAAACCCTGCAATTCAATTAACGCGTTGTTACATGACGCTAACCTTGCGCGGAAAAGTTTATTATATAATAAATAAAATGTTTGTATAACAAGAATGGATAATTTACACTATATATATATATATATATATATATATATATATATATATATATATCCATTTTCTCTTCTTTCCTCCGACTCCCTCTTCTTCTGATCTTTAAGATTAGATCGTCTGTTGTGTGTGTGTGTCACCATAAAATGTATCCTTTCCGATTACATCTTTAATGTATTAAACATCCGACAACATTCATATTTCTCTCACTTAAACCGTCTTTGACATCCCTCTCTAAAACTTCTCTCTGTTAAGGTTTAATCTCCCTCTTTCTCTCGTTTGTTACCCCTCTCTTTAGCTCTAACATTCGTCCTACACTCTCATACTTACATTCTCTCTAAATTTTATTTTTTATTTCCGGAGTTGTTTTTTTCTGTTTTCTTTTTGATGAATTGGATTGTATTTACGATTCCAATGGAATAAATTATAACCATGGAATATTTGTGTTTAAGCCTTTTTATTATATCCTTACTCTGTCCTGGACATTGAGTTCTACCTGGATTCTATCCTCTTGGAATATTTTTTTTTTAATACAAATGTATATGTATGCGTATGTATGTATGTATGTATGTATGTATGTATATTTATATATTTTGCATATGTATGTGTATATTTACCACTAATATTATCTATCTATCTATCTATCTATCTATCTATCTATCTATCTATCTATATGTATGTATGTATATGTATGTATGTATATGTATATTGTCTAAATTTTGCTGTTACACGATTTGGATATATATATATATATATATATATATATATATATATATATATATATATATATATATATATATATATATATATAAAAGCCTTGGCCCAAATTATGGAGCACCAACAAAAAATCGAAATTATGATTCAAACTTATATATTTAAAGGTTAAGAATAGTGGAGTAAACATTAATAACAACAATCAATATTTGGTATGTCCTCCTTTTGCCTTTATAACAGCTTTTATTCGTTTTTGCATATTATTGACTAAGTTGTTGCAGGTGGTAGGATCTATTTTCTGCCAATCTTCATGAAGTTTGGCCTCTAATTTTTTTTTGATGAACATTTGTGCATTCTCACTTTTTTCCTAAATGGGACCACAAAGTTTCAATGGAATTTAGGTCTGGGGATTAGGGGCCAATTCATCACTGTAATCCTTTTTTTTCTCAAACCAACCGATTGAAACTTTTGACGTATGGCATGGAGCATTGTCGTGTTGGAAGATTACATCACTTGGAATGTTATTATTAAATATTTTAGTCAAAGAGGTTCGGTAAACCTGGTCCAGCATGTTAGTATAAATTGTGGAGTTCATTCTGCCCTCACATGTGTACAACATTCCAGTGCCTGAAGAAGCCAGGCAGCCCCAAACCATTACGCTTCCTCCTCCAAATTTTAAAGTTGGAGCCACACAATCAGGATGAAATGCCTCTCCTTCCCTACGGCGAACATAAACCGCTGCAGGGGTGCCAAAAATCTGATGAAAAAAAAGAATTTGTTACAATTTTTGAATAAATGTTATGGATGTGTATTCACATAAAAATTTCAATTATTACATCCAAAGTTTAGGAAATAGAAGCTGTTAACTTACTCAAAGTTACTTTTGTCAGACCAAACAATTTTGCTCCAATCATTAGGTGCCCAAATTTCATGGTTTTTTGCAAATTCCAGTCGGTTTTTCTTGTTGGCCTGAGACAAGTATGGCTTCTTCCTGGCTTTGCAGCCTTTTAATCCCACTTCTTCTCATTGTTCGAGCTGATATGTTTTTGTTTGCATCCTCCCTAAGTTCATCAGCAAGCTCTGAAGAACTTTTCCTCCTATCTGCAAGGGATGCTCTTTTCAAAGATCTGTCTTCCCTGGCGGTTGTAGACTTTTTACGGCCTTGTCCTTTTCTGTTTTTGAAAGACTTTGTTTCCTTGTACCTTTTAATCGTCGTTTGAAACCCCTTCCTTGAACATTCCATCTTCCTGGCAATTTCTACCTGAGAATATCCTTCACCAGATAAAGCAACAATTTGCGCCCTTTTAATCTCTGAAAGCTGCTTCTTTGGAGGCATTTTTAATTAAATATACACTGGTAGGAATCAAATATTACCCGAAAATTACGAAACAACCTTTAGTATGACAATAAACCATTTTGAATATTGGAATGAATTTAGTACGAAACTCAGCTAAAGCTCTTGAGAGAGGCTTTAAAGCAAAAAAAAAATACTACAATCTACTGTTAAATATTTTACATTTGCTCTCAATTGTTCACTGTACGATACTTAACCTTGAAATAGGTAGGTTTAAACTATTATCTCAAATTTTTATAGGTTCTCTATAATTTTGTCCATGGCTGTATATATATATATATATATATTGTACAAATCGTGTAACAGCAAAATTTCCCAACTGTTACATTAAGCTTTGAACCGTTGTATCTTGGAAATGATTAAATATAACTTACTGGAATTTTCCGAGATTTTTGTAACATTATTGGACTCTACTTTGAACAATAAGAATGTATCTAACTCTAAATTGAACTGGTGATCCCTATTCCTGTTGTGACCTGATCCAGTTGTCCTCTTTACTCTTCCCTCTTTTTAAAACTTATTTACCGTTCTCTTGATGGCTCTTGAATGGAATTTGGAGATGGAAGCCAGAATATGAATGTTGGTACCTTTACTGAAGGCCTGAATGATCTTTTCATCTTTCAACATTGCTCAGTTGGGAAGACATCATCATCATATTGCAGCCTCAGCCGAGATTGAACTCACCAATACTTTGATTGGTGTAGTTCGTAATCTTGTCAAATAGCTGAATTCTTGATGCTTCGCTAGGGCTATCAAGGGTGTTTTTATCGTGACACCAACACTAAATGGATTGCCAACCAAGGCTCAGAGAGACTCCATTCACCCTCCTCTAATGAAGACATAGTGAGGCTGAGACAAAATAATTTTAACCTGTTCTCTTTCTAGCTGAATAACACGAAGGTTTTTTTTAAGGATATCATTTAATTCCTATTTATTTATAGTTCAGTTATTGCTCTCCAGAATGGAGAAAAATCTTTTTAGCCAGACATCTTCAATAATATCATATAATAAACCAATAATTAGCTTTCGAGCCCTAGCATCAATAAAGAAAAGAAAGGCATGAAAAGACATTATGGCCATTTTTTAAAGGGACATTGTACTTAGAGAAAATAATCTATCATATTGATTTTACGTTTATGCGTTTATATTTACCAATGCAAGAGTCCAAAATATACACCCAGCCCAAAGTAAGGTTAGTCTCGGCTATGTGGCCCAAGGTATAGGTGACACGCGGCTAGGCCATAATATACCCCTTTTTCCACGTAAGAAAATATATATAAGTGTACCCACAGTTGATATATAGCCTCTTTTATTCAACCACTATACCTATTTGTCTTAATTTGTTCTATCTATCTATCTATCTATCTATCTATCTATCTATCTATCTATCTATCTATCTATCTATCTATCGCAGTCTATTCATTAGTATCTGTCTATATTTCTGAGATGAGATATCATGTTCACTATTTACATTATTCGGACTATTGTCCTCATCTATGTCGCCATATTTATTACAACGTTTCGGCCGTTGTACGCTCCGGCTTTCTTCAGGTGGTGGGAATGTCGAACTGAACCCTTTATTTCGCTCGTTGAGGGTAGACTGTTCTAGTTCCACGTGCCATGTCTAATGGATGTCAGTTATCAGTTATCTTCTCTTCATTCCCGTCTCCAAGTTCTCTACCGCCTTAACCGGGTATTGAACTCATACTCTTTGGGTCCTGTCACTGGATCTAATTAACGCCTTTATCCATTGTGCCATGTGTCCTTGAAACGTTATAATAAGTATGGCGACAGAGATGAGGACAATAGTCTGAATAATGTAAATAGTGTACAGTCTATTCATATCTATCTATCTATCTATCTATCTATCTATCTATCTATCTATCTATCTCAATCTGTTTATATCTATCTATCTATCTATCTATCTATCTATCTATCTATCTATCTATCTATCTCAATCTGTTCATATCTATCTATCTCAATCAGTTCATATCTATCTATCTATCTATCTATCTATCTATCTCAATCTGTTCATATCTATCTATCTCAATCTGATCATATCTATCTCAATCTGTTCATATCTATCTACCTATCTATCTATCTATCTATCTATCTATCTCAATCTGTTCATATCTATCTATCTATCTATCTATCTATCTATCTCAATCTGATCATATCTATCTCAATCTGATCATATCTATCTATCTATCTATCTCAATCTGTTCATATCTATCTATCTATCTATCTATCTATCTATCTATCTATCTCAATCTGTTCATATCTACCTATCTCAATCAGTTCATATCTATCTATCTATCTATCTATCTATCTATCTATCTATCTCAATCTGTTCATATCTATCTATCTATCTATCTATCTATCTATCTATCTATCTATCTCAATCTGTTCATATCTATCTCTCTAGATAGATAGATAGCTTACGGTTAAAACACCGGTTTTTGTACGATTGCCGAAGTTAAGGAACGTCGAGATTCATCAGTACCTAGATGGGTGACCACTTTCACCAGGTGCTTGAGCGTGAATGTCTGGGTAGTGTATTGGATAATGTCACGGAATTGTTAATCGGAGAGCCGAGTTCCCATTACCTTTGGATTCGTTATTTTCCCTTATGCGCAATTACCCTTAGGAAAGGCATGAACCCTCCTCTAATTCCACGAAATATCGGTGAATTCGTAAGACTTTTTTCTTACAATCTAAAATTATTTTCTAGCTTTAAATAACATGTAAAATGCTGATAAGCAGTAGAAAACAAATCACTCAAAACCAGATATCCCTCGATGTAGATAGAGCAAAAAAAGAAAAATCGATCCCAGAGAATGAATAAAGCTTTCAGTTCGGAAATCCCTGATAGATCGAGAGAGTCCTGAAAAAGTTTGGAGAGCACAATAGTCGAAACGTTGCAGTCGTAAAATCAAATGTCAGACAGTAAGTAAGTAAGTAACTAATTAACAAGATTAATTATAATGTGATGATAATAAACCTGAAAAAAAAAATATTGTTTTCAGTTAACGTGTCGCTAATGACCAGCCCAATTTCCCGGAGCTTTCAGCAAAACTGAACTTTTATTTACTAATTATTTACTATTTATTTACTAATTATTACACTTGTCCCGTCTTCTGAAGAGGAGTAGAGCTTTATCCTTTGTTTCCTGTTTAGGATTGGACTTCCGGCTCCCGCTTAAATCTTTTTCTTCTTTTTCATTTCAGATGCCCACTTACGTCTTGGTCACATTATCACTTTGCTTGAGGTGTGTCTCTTACGCTGTAATCCTCTGCCTCGAGTGGCTCTTGAACGTCATTGTAAAAAAAGAAAAAGAAAAAGAATGAATTCTTATTCTCTTTCAACAATCTGAGATTATAATTTTACTTGTGTATCCGGTCAGAAAGTAAATATTGATTATATCATAGATTTGACTTTATGGGGGCCTGAAAAGTAATTGTTGTGTTTTGGTTTTTAATTTTCCAGAGAAAAATTATCATCTCATCTATTTTCATAAAATATCTTTTCCAACAGTCTTGACATTATTTTTTTTTAATTATTTCACTGCATGCAAGGCATTAAAGCCACTAAGACGAGGAGTTACCGAGTATGAATGAATAAGAAACCGAGAAACATTATTAAGATGAGAGAACAATAAAAAGAAGAGGAATCAAGAAGACAGTAGATAACGATTGAAATTGCATCTAAATTTTTGAAGATCAAATTTGGCTGGAATACAAGAAACCGGGAGAGAGTACCCGTAAGAGAGAAATGTGATTGAAAAAACTGTTAGCATAGAACTTACGCTTATATCTAGCCAATTTAACTATAAATTAATGAGACCAATGTAGTACTGCGCTTAAATTCATAAAGTCTGCGTACAATAGCGGAAAATTTATCAGAACAATTACCTGGAAGGTGTTAATTAAAAGGCAGAGGGTAGCTGCATTACAACGGTAGGGAAGTCACTGAAGCTAGAACAACAGATCAGGACTAATAATATTGCAAATTCTTCTTTAGGTATTATCAAGAATCTATAAATATTTAGCAGATCACCAGATCTCATTTGGCAGCAATATGCAAAGCTTTGACGACTGGTAGATTTGAAAAATATGTAAAATTGATTCTGAGAGAAAAAAAGAAATTGTTTATCACGATAAAGTGAAAAACATTCTCAGTAGCAAACCTAGCAATTGATTCAGCCAAAAATATTAGCTCGTGAATACGCAACCAGTAATTCTCCTGGAACTTAGCATGTGTATTTACGTTAAAATCCATTAAAATTTTTAAGAAAAAAATCTAACAGTCGATTATGTCGCTTCTATCGCATTGTAATCTGACTTTATGTTTACTTAGTGTAAATTTCAAGTTGATGCAATTGTCAAACAAACATCCTAATATTATAATATATCCTCTCACGATAAAAGGTCAAAGGTAAATGTATATATCCATGTGTACATACAGTGTCAAAATGAAGCAAATACCAACTTTGAAATCAAAATAAAAAGTAAAAAACAAAAAATTACATATAATTACTTAAAAAGGATTTTTTAAATAACAAATCAATCAACAAGTAAAATAATTTTAAAAGGGAGTGAACCAGTCAGAGAAATAAGTGATAAATATCACTCAAACCCAGACTTAAATCTCTGGACGATATCATCGGTAAGAGTTTACGGATCTTTTTTTTTTTTATTAATGGAAACATATTTCTTCTTTTATAGGCTGTGACTTTTCAGAAGGTTGTAGATCATGGCTCTTCACAACTACCTATCCTTTGGAACTCTTAGTAATTTTTATCGTTTTACACTCCGTTCCTCTCCCTTATCTGCTATCAATTCAAATATAGTTCAAGATATATGTCCTTCCATATGTACAGTTTACTATGTGGACCTGGGAACATCAGCAATTAAGAGGTGATTCCGCACTCCTCAAAACCTCCTGATCAGAGGCCTTACTGTTGGACGTAGTTTATCGACTTACCCAGGACGCGGATGTAGTTTATCGTCAAATAAAGACGGTCTCTTCTTAGTTAGGAGTTTTTGCAGTTTTCTTTCCGTGTCCGTGTCATCTGCATATATTATGTTCTTTCCGATTGTTGCCGGCAGTAATGAATCCTGGTAGGACTTCTAGTTCTCTCAGAATTGCCTCTCTCTATACGTTGAACAATTCCAGTATTTGTTTCGTATATGCTATGGAATAGTTAAATTAGATGTTCCCATCTATGCTTGTACGATGTCTCTCTAAAAAACAAAACAAAAAAAAGTAACGGGACTGGTATCACAAACAATTTATTTCGATTCCAAAGATCAAACTACATGGTTTCTTCTTCAAAGTAACCCCTCTTGAGTCTAATGCACTTCTCCATCGTTCTCTGTCACGATCCTATGCACTACTGGAAGGATTTTTCTTGGATGCCCTTAGCTCCGACGTTACTGCCCTCTTTGTAGCCTCCACTCCTACAAAACGGTTCCCCTTGATGATCGCCTTGAGCTTGGGGAAACGAAAAAAGTTAGATGAATAGGGAGTTTGTTCCAGTACGGCATTGTTCATCTCGGCCGGAATCGAACGTCTCCGACTTGACGGTACTAACGCGGTCAGTCACCAGGAAGGGGATTATTTTTTCTCAGTTTCGGAAAAATCTACCAATAATCAATCCTCTTTAGCAAGCTGAGTGATAGCTTGGATACCAGTTTCGCTAAAATAGGAAAATATGTGATCTTCACACAACTCTGGGTGTTTCTGTTAAGGGGTCCACCCCTTTTTCATACAAGTGGACTCGACCAGTGTGTACTTGTACTGCTGCCGGTGAATACCCGGAAGTGAAACAGTAAGAGAGTGAGAGTGTGAGGTAACCGCTTTGTAGGAGTCACAGTTGCGAGCACGTAGACTCAGAAGGAAGTCATACTTCGATACTGAATTTCCCAGACTGTATATATATTATTATTGCTACTAACCGCATTTCTGGATCGACTAACCGTATTACCAATTGTATTATTATGTCAATACATTTATTTGCTATATTTCATTCCTGCGTTTGTCATTCATTTGAGACCGGATTTCATCCCGGAATCTACAGTTTCTTTTTCTTTTACTCGCGGATTGATAGCAAGAAATATACAAACGTGAGGGTCCGAATAATATTGCTTTTTTTTTTCTTACTGTATCACACCTGAAATATTTGAAGTGCGTCTTATACGCATATCCGAAATTGCTTGTAGCGTAGCGGTTATCGATGCAGAAAATGGGAGAGTCGTGGCGAGTTCAAATCTCACCCGATGCCTTTGTGTTCGCTTCAGTACAAATATACACTGTAAAATGTATGGACTCATTTCCTCTACTTACCCCACCCGCCGTTAAAGATTAATAGCAGGGCAAATAGGACTCTAGACTTAGATGAGATCTAGTCTATGATAAGGATACCTTTGAGTTGAAAATCATTTGCATGTAGAGCTAGCAAATCCACCCCGTAAAAAAAAATACTTGTTGCTAGAACAACGGTAGAAGCATAGTGAATATGCCGTGCTATACTGCCCAGAGATCTCTAAAGCTTATAACATAAATGTTTGTGTTTTATGTGCTGTGTCCCTTCAGGACGTAGGCGATCATGGCTCTCTATATCTTCCTATCCCTTGTAGCTCTTAATAATTTTTTTTTTATTTCTCCTAAACCCTATTCTATCATCCATTTACTCAAGCTCATCAAGTATGTTACGCGCCGCTTTCTTCTTTCCCGCTTTCCCTTAATCTGTCCCGTGAGTATCAGATTTTCCAAGCCGTCCTTCCTCAATATGTGTCCCAGAAACCTTAACTGTTTCTTCCTAGTGTTAAGTAAAAGTTTACATTTTGTTTCCGTTCTCTCTAAAACCCCCTTTTTTTGCTCACATGTTCGGCACATGGCATTCTTGGTATCTCCCTGCAGAACGACATTTCTGTTGCTGCAAAACTCTTCTTCATCTTTGAGCATATTTTCCAGCCATAGTTCAATATTAATCCGTTGCGTATACTGACATTTCTCTGTTTCTACTGATTCATGTTGAATTGCAGAATAACGTTGGCTATGTTAATATCTACTCACAAAGTTAAAACAAAGAAAATAAAATGTTTTGTGCATTTGAGCGTTTTAGCTTTCACATTTATGTTCAGTACGATATTGAACGTGTTTTAACGGTTTTTTTTTTTTATTAACTTCGGGATAATTCCAGGAGCTGATTCTGGACGTTTTCTTTCATAAATTATCTCTGATGTACTTTTTGTTATTTTTACAAGAAACGAAAATGCGTGGTGAATTTAATTATGTTTACGCAATTAACTGACCTACGAGAACGCAAGCACTTGAATGAAATAAATAAAATAAATGATTTCTAATCGATGTGAGTATTTTCTCCACACCCATTATCTTATTATTTAAGAATGTAAAAGAAAA